CTACTAACGCTCAGTGCCAGCTGCCAAGGTAAAAGCCAGCCCTCGGCTTTCAGATGGCTCCGGGTTGTGCCAACCCTTCAAAGGGAGGCACCACACTGACACCGGAGCATCGCCCCGAGGACAGGGATGCAGGCACCTGCTGGGGACCCAGGGCATCCACACCTCCCTCCCCTGAGCCCACGGGGAGCCAGGAGCAGCCCTGCCAATCCCAGACCGCAACCAGCATTGGTTTGCACACCCTGCACGGCTGGAACGAAGCTTTCCATCTCTCCCGCAAAGTTGAGCTTGCTGGGGGAGTCAGCAGGCAGCCAGCAGCTGCTGTTTTGCCGATGGAAGGTGCACACACATGTGCTACAAAAAATAAACAGAGACGCAAAAATCTCTTATGCAAAAAAAGGTATTATGTACCGCCGATCCCACCCCCAGAGCAGCACAGGGCTGAAAGTAATCAGGAGTCCTTAAAGCTCAGGGTGACCAGCGACAGCTTTTATTTACAGCACGCAGCAGCCGTCCCAGCGGGCGGATTAACTGCGGCACGGCCAAGGCTGGAGCAGAGAGCGCGGCGGCTGCCGGCTCACCCGCACCCAAGGAGGCTGCAGCCGGGGGGACCTGCAGGTCCGCGCAGGGGAACAACCAGTGGAAACCCCACCTGGGCACGCTCGTGCAAACTGGTGGACGCCAGAGCCCAGCCAGCCTTCAGAGGAAACATTCCCTGCGCCCAGCTGCCTGCTCGGGAAGCCCGAAGCTGCACCGAAGCACCAGTGCTGGCTCCTTCCTCCTCCTCCTCCTTCATCTGCAGCACCTAAGCATGCTTTGCACCAGGAGGACGTGGGTTTGCTCCCTCTCCTTGGGGCGGCAGGAGAGGAGCGATGCCGCTACGCACCTGAGGGAAAATGAAGACAAGCCGCCCCGCTCTGAACTCTGCCAGCAAAGCGCTTCCTAATGGTTTCATCCCACTGATTAACACAGAATCCATCTCCCCTGCTAACACAAAGAAACTCATTAGCACCTCTTCCCAGGGAGAAAAGGCTTATTTTTTTTTTTCTTTTATGTTCTTCTCTCAGGTCCAATTAATACAGAAATCTTAACTCGCCCAAGGAGCAAAGCTCGGGCCAGAGCGTGGGGCTGCGAGCATCGGGGCGGCCCCATGGAGCCCAGCTGTCACCGGGGAGGGGGCACACAGCGGGCTCACGTGGCCCTTTGGTTTCTTGGCTTTGGCAAGACGTTCCTCCCGTTAGTTAGCCGTTACAAGAAGACAGAAGTACTGTTGGCTGCGCAGCTTTTATTTCTAACAAGGTTTCTGCTGCATTCCCAAAATTACAGCAAAAGGCAGTTTCTCCAGTAGTGCCCAGAAAGACGGGATTCACCCCCCTGCGTGACAAACCTGCTCCTTTGCAGGAGACCCTTCTCCCTGAAGCTCCTAATGTACGAAGTCGGAAAAGCGTGGACGATGCAGGGGGGACCCAGACAGCCCCCCTGCCCGTCCTGATGCACTGGTGGGGATCTGCAGGAACAAATGCAGCCCCACCGCTGTCCCCAAGCAGAGAAATCTGCCAAGACCCTCCAGCCCCGGGGAAGACGAGGAGGAAGACCTTGTGCCACGGCTTGGCACAGCCATGGCCACACGTGGGAAGGAATCATTAAGCCGGCCATTATCTAGCAATGGCTGGAAACCCCAAAGGCGATGCCTGCTACCGAGACGCCAGAGGCAGAGAGGGTTTTGCCCCCCGAGAAGCTTTCCCCTCTGAGGACAGAAGTTTCTGTTGCTCCAGGCGAGTCCCCCGCTGGGCGCAGGACCCCCCACCCCAGGACTCTGCCTCGCCTTAGGGGTGCCCACAGCGGGGCCGGGGGGCGTGGGGTGGGGCTTGACCCAGCAGCACACCCCAGCCAAACTTTCGATCAGCACCCTGGATGCGCCGGCACCACCACGGCTGAATGGGGAGGGCTGGTGTGTTCCCGAGGAGCTAAAGATGCTCCCGCAGTAAACCCAGTTTGCAAAGGAAGGAAAGCTGAAGGACTCAGCATCTCCAAAGCTAGAAGCCACATTTTGATGCATTTTTTAATACTCTGATCATCTTTATTTCCCTACTATCAGTAGTTTATTTTCCAAGTATATTTAGATCAACATCCTTCTTTGTTTAAGAGACGATGATAAACAAACACAAAGCGAGACATTCTCCGTAACATAAAACAGTAGGAGGGAAAAAACCTAGGGGGGCCATTAGGAATTGTAATGCCAGATTAATTTTAAACGGATTTCTATTCATTTACATTCGCTCAGGCCTACATAATCCATTAGCAATGGCTTTGCATGTATCTAATGGCTTGACATCCTTGAAAATGAGCGGCTGATCCTGCAGCCCACTGGGACCAGTGGACGGACTGGGAAAGGAGATGGAGAGCGGCTGGGTGGGCACGGGGGCTGCCCCCTGATGCGGCTCCGTCCCATCCCAGGGTGCTTTGCAGAGACCATCTGGCATCAAGAGGAGCAGAGACAGTCCTAGAAACAACGGCGAGAGCCAGGCAGCTCCATCCCCACAACGTCCCCAGCCTTTATCCAGGCTCCCGGCTCCCCCGGCCGAGCAAGGTCCCGCGTGCACAGGAGCGCAGCTGCTGCACGCCCTGGCCTTGGCGAGGTCCCCGGAGCCTCCGCCGCCAGCGAGGCTCAGCGAGCGCCGCAAACCCTGCCGAGAAAACCCGATGCACCGACGTACCGCCCTGTGCTTGCTCAGCCACCTCTTGCACCGGTCCAAGGCGAACACCGCAAAACCCCGGCCTTCCCCAGCCGCAACCGCCCACGGTCACAAACAGCCTCGTTTGCTCCAGCCAGAAAACCCACGGCCGAATTCTGGGATTACCGAGAAAAGGAGCTGCAACGTGACAGTTGTGTTGTTAGACAGACCCAAATTAAAACCCAAGCGTGCCCTCGCAGCAGAAGCCTCCAGCATTACCACCCCGGAGCTTCATCTGCATCACGATGCAGACGGCAAGAGGGGCACAATTGCACGGCGCCTGCAAACAGGATTATCTGAATGGAAACGGAGACGTACAATCAAAAAAGTATTTCCACGTCCCCCCCAAAAATTACGAGTGCCTTACAAACATGGTAATAATGAGGTTTTGGGCATACATGTGATCATCCCCGCTGTATAATCTGCCCATTTCAAACCTATTCAGCTCTAGCAGCTCTATTACAGAAGTAAATTAACCCTAATTTGATCGCTTCTCAGTAGCAGTTGTTTCAGTGCTCTCATCAATAAATCACGGGATTTCATGACTGCCCTCAGTATCAATCATTGCAATCAGTAATGAAACGCTTTTCATTTTAAGAACACCTGAAAATACCGTGTAATTACTTTTGTATAAAACTACGGACTCCAGTTTACCAACTTCCCCAAGCCACTGCTGCAGCATCGCTCTGCACCAAAAGCCTGGTTGCAGGACAGAACGTTGCTTTCTTCCTAAAGGCTTTCTCAGCCATTCCCACTTGTCCCTGTACCAGCAAGGTATTATTCACACCCCGGTGAAGCAGCAGCTTACAAGAGACACCCATCTCCCAGAAATCCTCCACAGAAGGGGGAGACCCAAGATCCTGCTGAGGGCAGGCAGGCGGGAAGATGCAACGCTGGTGCATGGCATCACCACCAGCTCTTTGCCACACCCACCCATCACCACCGTGGCGCCAAAGCGGAGCCAAAAGCTGTCGTACAGCAAGATGGCGCAGCCGGTGCCCTGACAGCAGGGCAGGGGGAGCGCAGCCACCAGGCACGTCCCCAGTCCCAAGGGCTGAGCCTCCCCCAGGAGCCAGTGGCACTGGCCAGACATCTTGGGGGGCGGCAAGCTTGCGGTTTGGGGGAAGCAGATGGTTGGGGAACTGGTGGGGGACAGGGAGCACCTGATCCTCAGGCCCAAGCCAGGCGCACTGCTGGTGCTGCTTTGGTAGCAACAGCTCAGAGGAGCTGCCACCACCTTGGCAGCATCCGCAGGGCTCCCTCACCACCCCTTCACAGCCCGCTGGAAGGTTTCTTTGATGCCATCTCTGCAAAGTCACCGTCCCCATTGCTCTGCTGTCCCACCCCAGGGGTGCTGGCTCCTCAGCCCAGGGTGCCCACGGCGGCACCGCAGCTGCCCTTCGCCCAGGGCTGCCTGGACCACGGCATCCCCAGGCAGCCCCCCTGCCCCAGCAAGGTACCACCGGGGAAATGCAGCCAAGAAAAGGCTCTGAGGGCCCCAGCTGGCACTAAAACATTCCCACCTGGCAAAGGATGCTCTGCCCACACTAGGGCATTGCAGGACATGAGCTGTCTCCCCTTCTGCCCCCCATTCCCCACATTACATCCTCTGTCGAGCAGGTTCCCACTGTCCTTGCTGGGACCACACAGCCTCGACACGCTGCCCTTGGGGCTCCCCCCACACTGGCAGCGGGATGCTCTGGTCGCTGCCAACAAACCAGTTATTGTCAAAGAGCTCAGAGACCCCTCTGCATGGCATCTCCCCTCCATGCCAGAGGGAGCAGGGCCACCCCGGCACCATGCCCCCACGTCAGCACCCCAAAGCTGTGCTCAGGAGATGCTTCCAGGAGATTTTGGTCTGTGTCAGGTTTTTTTTGTTTTAAAAAAAACAAACAAAAAACTCTTAAAAACACTGAAACTGACTTAGGGGGATATTTTCACTGGGCAGAGATGCTCAGGCCTCAGCAGTTGTGCTCACATGAATCATCCCTGGGACCCAGAGCAGAGGACGTGCTCCCCCGTCCTCATGCAAAGCATTAACAAAGAGGCCGTTGCGCTGCCGCCGCCACCATCAGACCATTGCTCAGCCCCGAGGTGCCCCGGCTAGAGCCGACACAGGTCAGGATGCCAAGCATTAAGTTGCTGGACCAATATTTTGTCACTCCTCTGAAAAAGCCGTCGCTCACCTACCAGAGCCTTTGGGCAGGGACTGAGCAGGCAGGGGTCAGGAGCCTCTGCCGGGGACGAAGGCGGCCCCCGGGCACTTACCCTGAAGTCGATTCCAACCGTGGAGATGAAGCTGCCGGCGAGGAAAGCGCCATCTTTGAACCGCACCAGCAAGCAGGTTTTGCCAACCCCCGAGTCGCCCACCAGCATCACCTGTGAGGGGGGGGGGGGGGGTGGAGACCAGA